AAGTTGCTGGTGAGACCTAAGTTTGACAGTGAGTCATGTGACTTGAGTCCCCATCCTGGCAAGAGATGCTAAAAGCAACAACAACAACAACAAAACAGGTATATGCATAGCAAAAGACAGAGAAAAGAAATAGTGGCTCAGCTACTCAGTGTGGATGGAAAATTCCTACTTTAGCTCAGTCTTTTCCCAAAATACAGTCTATGATCCTCTAAGCAAATGTGCAATACAAATGGAGGGGGCAAGATTGCAGCTTGAGAATGATAAACAAATTGTCAAGAAATACCTTATTATTTTGAATGAGTTCAGATCTCCAGGGCAGGATGAACTGCGTCCAAGAATATTGGAGGGACTGGCTGGAGAACTCTCAGAATCACCATCTATTATTTTCTGGAAATCATGGAAGATGGATGAAGTTCTGGATGATTGGAGGAAGGCTACCATTGTCTCTGTCTGCCAAAAGGACAGAATGAAGGAACCTGGGAACTGCTGACCAGTCAGCCTGACGTAAACCCCAGGGAACATTCTATAGCAGATTATAAAGCAGTCACTCTGCAAGCATCTTGAAAACAATGCAGTAATAACTAGAAGCCAAAATGGATTTGTCAGGAAGAAATTCTGCCAATCTAATCTTATCTCGTTTTTTGATTGAGTAATAGCGGGAAGGAATGCTTTAGAAGTAATGTATCTTGACTTCAGCAAAGCTTTTGACAAGGTGTTCAGTGATATTTTGATTAGCAAACTAGGTGTGGTCTGGATAGAGCAACTGTCTGTTGGATATACAGTTGGTTGCAGAGAGTACTTATTGGTGGCTCCTTCTCAAACTGGAAGGAAGTAACACATGGGGTAACACAGTCTCAATCCTAAACCCAGTGTGCTTTAACATTTATATTAACCACCTGGATAAAGAGGTGCAAGGAATGTTTATCAAATTTGCAGATGACACGAAATTGTGTGGAATTGCTAATACTATGGAAGACAGAAACAAAATTCAAAGTGATCTTGATAGGCTTGAACACTGGGCTGAAACAGAATGAAATTTAACAGGGAGATGTGCAAAGTTCTGGATCTAGGGGAAAAAACAGTTACAAGATACTCACTCATAGTTTTACTTGGCTCAGTACTACTACGAGTGAGAAGGATTTTGGAATTGTTGCAGGCCACAAACTGAATATGAACTAACAGTGCAATGTAGTTGTAAAAAAGGCCAATACTATTTTAGGCTTCATTAACAGAAGTATATTCTCCAAATCCTGTGAAGTACTACTCTCCCTCTACTTGGCATTGGTTAGGCCTCCTCTTAAGTACTGTGTTCAGTTCTGGGTGCTGCACTTTCAGAAGGATGCTGATAAACTGGAACAAGTTCAGAGGAGAGTAAAAAGGATGATCAGGAGACTGGAAATCAGGCCCTATGAAGAAAGACTGAAAGAACTGGGTATGTTTAGCCTTAAGAAAAGAGGCGATAGAATAGCACTTTTCAAATATCATCTGTCAGTCCTACAATGGGATGGATCTGTTCTTAGTCATACCAGAGTGCAGGACATGTAATAATGCCATGGCCTTATAGGCTCCTGAACAAGAACAAACATTTCCCCTTCCAGTTCTCAGCATATTTCTTGTGTATAAGAAAAGGAGAGTTTAACAATGACCACAAGTAATGGTTTTGGCTATTGAGCCAAATGAAAGTGTGTGGTCAACCTGGACTGTGTATGACCTTTTGAATTCTTTTGAACCAGCGTGCTATTTAACTTCATAGTAATACTAATTATGTACTGTCAAGTCAATTCTGACTTAAGGCAATCCTTCTCATAGTTTAGCAAAATATATACATAACTTGTAGCTGAGTAGAGGCAGTACATGTAGTTCTCCTACCAAATGTGTTTCCTGGACTTTAGAATACCTGTAGGTGCAGAAGTAATTCTACACTGCCAAACTCTTCTACCTAATTATGGATGTGGAAAAGGGATACGGTGATGGGCAGGGAGAAGTGAGCGGCCATTCCTTCTATCCACAATCTCTTTCATTTTGTTTGGGCTTCTTGCAGCCTGCTTGCCGTCATTCAGTTGTCACATACTGGGTTTGTTTGATCTCTCTCCATCCAGTCTCATTCTCCAGCTTCACATAAATAGCAGACATGATGAGCCTGTTTTTTTTTTTTAAAAGGACATTTTCAAAGTGGCAAAGAGACTGCCGTCATTGGTGAACATGAGAATCCTGACCAGAGAGAGGGTAAATATTGTTCTTGATCTCACAAGCCATTCCCAAAAATTTTCAGACCTGTTCTATTAAAAACTGTAGAGAACTAATTATTTGTAAGCAATAACAAATAGTATGAGAACTAGTTATTTGTAAACAATTTAGGAGGCAGCACAATAAAATGAACCATTTGTTTGGGAGTTGTTCAAGCATTTGGAAGCAATATTCCATGTTTAGTTATAATTAACGTTTGATGCAGTGTATCAGCTTCTGGTTCCTGAACTGGCAAAGTTCAGATATGTCCCTCCAGCACCCACAAACCTACATACACCAAAATTTAAAATCTTTTTAAAAGCCATTTGTTGGCAGAATAGTGGTATATTAATTTAACAATTTCTAAACAAAACATTTGTATAGACACAATCTAAAGATATAAATAGAACTAATTAGCAAAACTAACATTCTTCTATGCTATAAATCACTGATGTTCACCTACTGTATTAATTAAAAGGCTGCTTGCTGTTTGGGAGATTCTCACTCTTGAGGAAACCCCCACTCTTAAGCTTAATGTCCACCAGCTACTGACTCAATGCGGTACTGAAGGCTAGCTTGTCAGGGATTGAATCTGGATTGCCCCAGGCCTGGTGCAAGACTGATCTCTGCACCACACTGATTGTTTAGTATTACCCACACAGAGATGGTCATGCAATGTAAACAAGCCAAGCTGGATTTATTGCTTTATCATTTGTTCTCCATACCCTGTGCCTAGGACTTACCTAGTGGTGTAATGGTAAAGGAAGCCACTGGGCATGCCATAGTTCAGATATGATGCTAATTCTATGACTTTGAAAGGATTTTGTCACCTGATAGGTTTTTGCCAGTGTCATTCAGTACCTAAAATTAAGCCTCTCCTATGTCATAGTCATGTGTGTTTCGTATAGTGTAATTTTGAAGTGTCATCTTAGAAGCAAGTGTCCCAAAATCTATTGGTGCATATGCCAGTGTAAAAGTCTTCAGTATTGTAACCTTAGCTAGTATAAGAGGCCTAGCCTGGTTCAGCTGGATAACAGTCCATTTGTTTTCCTTCTATGCTTGTTCCAAGCATCTGCCTCTAAAGTCTGATCTGAAACAAAGCCTGTCCCCATTATCTTGTACACGAGAGAAAGTTCTCTCAGGCTCCTCAGAAACTGATAACATTGCAGTCAGAGTAGAAGGCCCAAGCATGTATGCTCCAACTTGAAAACAGCCTAAAATATTAAAAGGTAGACACCTGATCTAGCAGCCCACACAGAACCAGAAAAGGCTTCCGCTATAAGGGTAACTGAGATGGCAGCTGCTTTATTATGTTCCCTGGTCCTGTCCTGTTTGTGGTATACATTCACTTGCTACGCATTCCCTGCGGCTGATAATGGAAGGAGAAGGAGGCTGCTGCCCCTTTAAATGTCAGGGGAAGAACTGAGCTGGGTGTCCTGCCAGAGTCCTCTCGAATTCTCCTTTCATGGTAACAGGACAGTCTTTGGTAGCTGCATTTGGGCTCAGGAGCAAAGGTTTTAATGCCTTAAATAAGGAATAAATTATACTGCCCCTCCCCTTTGGAGCAGTACCTCTGGAAAGCAGTCTTTGCTCTCGATAGAGCTAAGCTATGTTGACTGCAGCCATCAAGAGATGGTGTTTGGAGACAGGAATTGATAAGCTCCAGGGGCACTTCTAAAAATATGACCCAGATCCCACACGTAAGCCATGTCATTGTTTCAGGAGGGTTGCCAGTGCTCCTGCCAATACCCACTCACCCATTTCTTCCTCCCAGAAACTTGGATGGGTTGCCACTTTCTGCCTCCTCTCCTCCTTGTCCTTCTCTCTCTCTCCTCTCTCCTGCCCCTGGCCTGGGTGGCTGAAGGGAATCTGCCAGTAGTTGGCACCTGTAATGTCTCCCCTAGACAGGAATCCAGGACAGAGTGGGACGGCTTTCTCTTCTTTGCCACCTGGTCATCATTTCCTTTCGCTTCGTGCTGGCTCACAGGTGGCGCAGTGCTATTCCTGCAGGACTAACTACTGCCTCAACCTTGAGTTCCAGAAGAGCTAGAATTGACAACGGCACCTGTTGAATTGAGCTACGAGGAGGTGTTAGCCGCTGGAGAAGATTATTTTCATGAACCACTTGAGTCTCAGAGAACTGAGTAGTGGGCCTCTTACATATGGGGTAAACGGAATAGCACGTGCCTGAATGCCAGCAGCAGTAGCTGGAAAGCAAGCTATGGCACCTTGGGGACAGGGTGGGATCAACCACATCACCTTCCTCCTTTCTTTTTTCTCCTTGATTTCCTAAAAGGAACATGCACACTAGTTCCTAAAGTTGTCAACAGAGCCCTTCAGATGCTGGACCTCTTCAGATGGCAGCTTTAAAAGGAAGTATCTGAATGGCTTTCTAAAAATATGTGAATCCACTGAAGAAGTGAGCCATACACAATATGTGAGGGGTTCTATAGTAAGGAAGAATGAGGTACCTACTCAAGCAGCTTGTTTGGGATGTCAAAAAAGGTTTATTATTGTTAGTTGTTTCATGACATTATTGAATATTATTGCATTTCTCCAGGAAGGGAGGAGGAGAGGCACTCTAATATGCACAAGAGTCAGGGACTGCTTATGAGGGCATTTTATGAGTGTCTCTGTCTCCACCCACCACCCTTTTGTGTCTAGCAATTTTCAGCCCTTCAAGTGGATCTGAGCCAGGTAAGAAGACATTTAAGAACTAGAGAATACTAATTTCATTTATCCCCTCTTCCCTCCCCAATTTCTTTGTCATGCAGCTGAGAAAGTGTCTTCTTTGGGAAAAGACTGGCACAAATTCTGTCTGAAATGTGAGCGTTGCAACAAGACACTGACTCCTGGTGGGCATGCTGAGGTAAGAGTGACGGCCATTGTACATAGCCTGTCGTAATGCTTTCATGCAGTAATTGGGAGAGAGTGTATTTGCTGTGTCATATTAAGGGCTAACAGAACAGCCTGTCTTTCTTTTGCCAATTGAAAACTTATTTTTTTAAAAAATACAGTATGTGGCTTTAAAAAATCAGTTTGATTACACACATTAGGGTAATATTTAATACTTAAATACTACAGTTAGAGAACAATCTAAATATCTCCTTTTCCAATAGTTTATCTAAAGCTACTTCTTTTTTTCCCCCTTTATTACCCACTGACATCCAGTGTTGGATACAGGCCTCCTCTTTGTCTTTCCACATATTTCTGTCGTGTGCTATTCTAAACACCAAGATCATCTTGGTGGCAGAGGACAAGAGAAGGTACACAGTGAGTGGGGTGGCCTATTGTTACAGGAGGGTGCAAGTGAGGCAACTGGTGCCTATCCCGAACTCTTGCCGTCCCACTCCTTGGCATCTACAAGGTAACCAGCTCAGTCAGTCTTCTGATCTGACCCTCCTACTGCTGAATGCCAGGCCAGTCGAGATTTGCAATCTTGATCTCGCTTATTTACAGTCTTACTGAGGATGAAAGAGCTCATTTGGCTTGCATAATGAGACCTGGGTGGGAGAAGAGTTGTGCCCACCCAGGTATTCCATTCAGCATCAGGGCAGATCAGAAGGATGGGGTGGAGAGGGGTCGCCACGGTCTGTGAAGATGTCATCTGTGTCAGCAGGACCTCTGTTTTCTCAAGTGAAAGAGTATTCACCTGACAGTGGGGCAGAGAGATAGATTTAGGCTGGCACTAGTGTACCATTCTCCTCACAACCTACTGTTTTCCCTACCAGGGCTGACAGAGTTTGTCTCAGCAGTGAAGTTGAAGGCCCCTAGACTTTTGCTGCTGTGGGACTTTTACATCCATGCTGAGGTGGAGCTGGCTGAAGCCACCCTGGAGTTCATGGATTCTATGACACCCGTGGGTCTATCTCAGTAGGTCATCAGCTCCACACATAGAGCAGGTCACATGGGTGGATCTGTTTTTCTTCCTCCAAACCTGGATGGGTTGCCAGGTGTCAATGGCTTTCTCCTATGTAGGATATGATCTGGCATATGTAGGTTATGATCAGAGGGGTGGTGAATATGAATTATTGCCCCCTGTCAAGGTCAGAGCATTTCCTGCTGAAATTTAACTTAGCCTCGGTAACCCCCTCACATAAAGCAATCGGAGAAGTTAAAATGGGCTGCCCTCAAAGTCATATTGAGCCTGTGAGTGTTCGGGAGGACTTGGGAGGACTTCCAACTGACCTGGTTGGCCACCCTGTCAAAGCTGAAGTGAGTAGGTGGTACCCTGAAGTGACACAATTGCTCCCAAATGCCCTCTCTCGTCCAGAGCCTGGCCCTCCCCCGGTTTACGGAGGAGCTTTGGACTATGGGGTTAGTTGGGAGACAGCTAGAGAGGAGATGGAGGAGAGACCTATTGGATGTTAATTTCTCTGTGGTGTTTAAACTGACAAGGAAATACTTGAATGCTATCAAGTCAGTGAAAAAGATCTTTAACATTAGGATAATAGGTGAGACAGTAAACCAGCAGAACTCTATTAGGTTCTCCACAGCCTCACTAACCCTAGTCAGCAAAGGCCTCAATTTGGTAACTTCACCAATGAGCACTTTGCAGTGTTCTTTAGATCAAAAATTGAGGCCATCCAATGGAACCTAGAGTCCTCTGGCAATGCAGTGGATCAATCTGGGACAACTCAGATTTGATTGGATGTGTTTCAACCTGCTCTGAGGAGGTGGCCATGACACCAGCACATTGCAAACCCACCGCATCTGTGCTTTATCCTTGCCTAGCTTGGCTTTTGAAAGTGGTATAAATGCTTCACTGAGGGAGGGCTTTATGCCTGCCCCGGGTGGAGGAAACCATCATATGGCTCATCCTAAAAATTTCCAACTTGATGACAGACAATCTGAATAATTTCAGGCCCATTTTCATTATCCCCTTTATGAGCAAGTTGATTGAGAGGGTGGTGGCAGAGCAGCTCCAGATGTTCCTGGAGAAGGAAAACTGCCTGGATCCATTTCAGTTTTGGTTCAGGCCATGCCATGGCATCGAGACAGCACTGAGCACACTGCAGGATGACCTGCTCAGGAAGGCCAGTGGGGAGGGATGGCACTATTATTGCTCCTTGAATCTCTCAGCAACATTTGATATGACCGACCCTAGTATCTTCTTGGACAGAGGATACTGGGAGTAGGGGTTGGAGGGCTGGTGCTTACCTTGTTCTGATCCTTTCCTGGTGGCCAGGTCCAAAGAGTTCAGCTTGGGGATGAATTGTCAGCCCCTTAGACCTTGAACTGCAGATACCCAGAGAGGTCATCTGTCTCCCCAATGCTTTTAAAAATCTATGTAAAACTGCTGGGAGAGATCATCCAGAGATATGGAGTGCGTTTTCATCATTATGCTGGTGATACGCAACTCTCTCTCTCTCTCTACTTTACATCTTCTGCAGTGGATGCTGTCTGGGCCCTGGAGTGCTGCCTGGCCTTGATTCTGGAATGGATGAAGGCTAATAGATTGAAGCTGAACCCAGAGAAGACGGAGGTCATTTGTTGGGAGGCCCGTTGGAAAAGTTGGGGAGTAGCCTCCCTATGTTGAACTCTCCTTCCTTTTAGGAAGCACATTTGTAACTTTTACATGCTCCTGGACCCGGCCGTCTTCTTGGAAAATCAGATTGTGGTCATGTCCAGGTCAACTGTCAAACAACTCAGACATTGCCCAGTTGTGCCCCTGCCTGGATGGGGAGCCCCCCCCCTTGACAACAATGGCCCGTGTGCTGGTGATCTCTAAGTTTGCTTACTATAATGCTGTCTGTATGGGCCTGCCCTTGAAACTGGCATGGAAATTTTAACAGGTCCAGACTGGTATGAGGTGTGAGCACATCTTGCTGCTGCTGGCTTACCTACACTGCACTGGCTCCCAGTTGTTTTCCATGCCAGATTCAAGGTGCTAATGCTAGCGTATAAAGCCCTTTATAATTTGGGGCCTCAGTATTTTTTTGGAGCATCTCTCCCTCAGAACATCAACTGGTACCACCCACTCTTCACAGGCCTTGCTTCTCTGGGCTGCCACTCTGAGAGAGGCGAAGGAAACAATCACCAGGAATCATGCCTTCATGGCCATGGGCCCTACTTTATGGAAATGGGCTCCAAGTGGAAATTTGGCAAGCCTCCTCTCTCATGTCCTTTAACAGGATGCTTAAGACTGTGCTGTTTTGGGAAGCTTTTAAGGGCATTCTCCAGTAGGTTATTTTTACAGGCATTCCTGTAGTCTGTTATCACTCAAGGTTTATTTAGTTACTGTATTCGTGTGTGTTGATGTTTTGGTTTATTGCTTTTATGTGTATACCACTCAAAATAGTTGTACACTAAGTCAGCAGTATAACATACAAATCAATAAATCAACCAGTAAATAAATAATCTTTGCCAGTCCTGCTCACCTTTTAAAATCGCCTAGTAATATTAACCAATTATGTATTTCTTCTCTCCTGAGCTTTTGTTTCAAATTCCTGGATGACATTTTTAGTTATATATCAGTAAAAATAAAATTTTAAAATTAAACCTATCATTGGTTTTATAGAGAGGATCTGGAGACCTCCAGCACACGGTCCCAAACATTCCCATGTGTGCTTGGTAGATTTGACCTATTATCCCCATTAACAATGAAAGGTAGCTAAACTGAGATAAAATCAGTAAAAGTATTTTTGTTTTTAAACTCCTTGCTTCTTCTCTCAGTATTTCCCATAAAGCAAGATCCCACACCATGCATTCAAGGAAAGATTAGCAGCACATTTCCAATGCCTTGCTATTTCTGACATGCAGCTATAAGTAGAAATGTGACAAGATCTTTGTATAAAATCTTAGCGTTCTCTGCAAGAAGTAAATTTAGCAAAGTCAATAGCTTAATCTAGTTGAAACTGATGGTTTGTTATAACTTCTATTTCTTTATATATCAGTGACCCATACTGACTGATCTATGAAGATTTGAGAGGGAGATACTGTACCTTGACAATTAGTTCTCAAAATATTGATTTTTATGCTAGCTCTTGTACGTAGCTTCAGCTCTGTGTCATAGTTGTTGCCATTTTATGTGGGCATATGCAGGAATTTTTCCAGGGTGGAGTGCAACATTTTATAATGTTATAACATCTGATTCTGTGATATTTAGAAGTTAAAACAGAAAATTCTGGGAATATGACGAACTGTTGAAGAGTGTTATATTCTGGCTTCCCACTGCAGACATCATGGACATCCAATAAAACTTTATTTGGAGGGAGCAACATTTTAAAAAAACTAAAAATCCAAATGCATAATTATTGTAAGCCGCCCAGAGACCTCTGGGTAGTTTGGGCGGCATATAAATTGAATAAATAAATAAAATAAATAAATAAAGACATCAAAAGCAAATCCTAAGAATGTACTGAGTGCTTCTGGCCTCACCATCCTTAACATAACACTGACAATCTTACATAACTATGAAAACTTCTAATGTGAAACCATTTTCTAGAATGGTTTTCTTTCATCTTGGAACTATTCATGGACATCCTAGTAAATAAGCTGCAGAGAGTATCTTTAACAGGGATGGAAATTAGCTATTCTTTATTAGGATTTAGAGTTCAGGAGCAGACTGTTCTGTTTATTTTACTTTCCACATTGTTATCAATCACTTTTTATGGTAGCTAACATGAAATAATGTTGTCTTTTTTTTAAACATTGAACTGCAAATGTTTTCTTTTGGAATTGTACATTTTGTTTGGGGGAAATTGTTTCTCGATGGGTTGATGTGGTGTCAGGATGACTTTCCTTGCAGTCAAAACCTTCAGTTGGTGGGTTGATGTGGTGTCAGGATAATGACTTTCCTTGCAGTCAAAACCTTCAGTTCTGTCACTATCAAAACATATGGGTGGAAGAATCAGTTTACCTATGAAG